AGATGGCGCTTGTTTAGAATATTTTACTTCTCAATTAATAGTCCTCTTTCAAAAAATAATACATTGGTTCAGTACAGAATGCTCATCGGCTCAATAGATGGCGCTCGTTAAGAAGTTCCTGCATTGACTGAATAGATGGTGCTTTTTCGGAAATGTGTATATTGACTCAAAAGATGGCATTTATTTATTTTATTTTATTTTATTATTTATTTATTTTATTTTTTTTTATTATTATTTATTTTATTTATTTTATTATTTATTTTATTTTTTTTTTTTTTTGTAATGCCAACATCGACTCAATAGATGGTGCTAGTTTGGAAATGCCTACGTCAGTTCAATAAATGGCGCTGGTTCGGAAATTTATACATTAGCTCAATAGATAACGTTTTTGGAAATAGGTAAGTCGACTCAATAGATGCTACTCTTTCGGAAAATTCTACATTAACTCAATAGATGGCGCTCGTTCAGAGATTCGTACATCGACTCAATAGATGGCGCTGTTTCGGTAATTTCTACGTCGACTCAATAGATGGGAATCGTACGAAAACTTTTACATTGATTCAATACATGGCGCTCGTTCGAAATTTTCTACTTTGATTCAATAGATAGCGCTCTATCGGAAAGTTCAATTTTGACTCAATAGATGGCGCTCTTTTGGGGAGTTCAATTTCGACTCAATAGATGGCGCTCTTTTGGAGAGTTCAATTTCGACTCAATAGATGGCGCTCTTTTGAGAAGTTTAATTTCGACTCAATAGATGGCGCTCTTTGGACAATTCGACTCAATAGATGGCGCTCTTTTGAGAAGTTTAATTTCGACTCAATAGATGGCGCTCTTTTGGAAAGTTCAATTTCGATTCAATAAATGGCACTCTTCCGGTAAGTTCAATTTCGACTCAATAGATGGCGCTCTTTTAAAAAGTTCAATTCCGACTCAATAGATGGCGCTCTTTTGGAAAGTTCAATTTCGACTCTAGATGGCGCTCTTTCGGAGTTTATTTTTGACTCAATAGATGGCGCTCTTTTGGAAAGTTTTCGGACGACTCGACAATTTCGATCAATAGATGAATTTTTGACTCAATAGATGGCGCTCTTTTGGAAAGTTCAATTTCGACTCAATAGATGGTGCTCTTTTAGAAAGTTCAATTTTGACTCAATAGATGGCAATTTAGATGGCGCTTTTGGAAAGTTCAATTTCGACTCAATAGATGGCGCTCTTTTGGAAAGTTTATTTTTTACTCAATAGATGGCGCTTTTGGAAAGTTCAATTTCGACTCAATAGATGGCGCTTTTGGAAAGTTCAATTTTGACTCAATAGATGGCGCTCTTTTGGGAAGTTCAATTTCGACTCAATAGATGGACAATAGATGGCGCTTTTGGAAAGTTCAATTTCGACTCAATAGATGGCGCTCTTTCATTAAGTTTATTTTTTACTCAATAGATGGCGCTTTTGGAAAGTTCAATTTCGACTCAATAGATGGCGCTCTTTCATTAAGTTTATTTTTTACTCAATAGATGGCGCTTTTGGAAAGTTCAATTTCGACTCAATAGATGGCGCTCTTTCATTAAGTTTATTGTTTACTCAATAGATGGCGCTTTCGGAAAGTTCAATTTCGACTCAATAGATGGCGCTCTTTCATTAAGTTTATTTTTTACTCAATAGATGGCGCTTTTGGAAAGTTCAATTTCGACTCAATAGATGGCGCTCTTTTGGAAAGTTTATTTTTTACTCAATAGATGGCGTTTTTGGAAAGTTCAATTTCGACTCAATAGATGGCGCTCTTTCTCAATAAAAGTTCAATTTTTGACTCAATAATTGGCGCTCTTTCGGATAGTTCAATTTCGACTCAATAGATGGCGCTTGTTCGAAAATAACGCATCATTTTTTTTTTTCATTCAAAAAAATACAGGTTCTCCCTTCCGTGTTTATCCTTCCGTGTATTAGAAAGTTTGCTGTTCTACGAGTGCTTGGATGTAGGCCTATGAGATTTTATTTTCTGTAATTTCTTTAAATTGACAAGAAAGAGAGCGTGGAGCTTGTAAGTAATATTATACCTTTGCCTGTGACTGTTTTTATACATTGTTTGATTATTGCAAATTTTGGGTATGTAGATCTTACTTTTTTTTTCCTTTGTACTTTGGCTTATGCTTTCGCGTCGTTATGACATCGCATATCATTTATCAGTCAGCATCAAAATAATCATCATCATCATCATCATCATCATCATCATCATCATCATCATCATCATCATCATCATCATCATCATCATCATCATCATCATCATCATCATCATCATCATCATCATCATCATCATCATCATCATCATCATCATCATCATCATCATCATCATCATCATCATCATCATCATCATCATCATCATCATCATCATCATCATCATCATCATCATCATCATCATCATCATCATCATCATCATCATATTATCAATTGACATTACTGACATTATCATCATCTTCAATCACATATCAATCAACAGTATTATTGAGATGCAATTAACATCAATGGAGAATCATTCATCAATTGACTTAATTGACATCAATTGACATATCAGTCGACATCATCAAACATCAACGTCATCAACTTCGTCAATCAACATCAGGATCAATCAGTATAATTGAATATTGGTCGTCGTCAATCATTGCTATTTTAATCTTTTGCCGCAGTTATATATTGTAGCAAGATGAATGCTCTTTTTTTTTCTTTTTCTTTTTTAATTTGTGATATTTTTGATAGTTTACTTGATGTATATGGTTAATCTTCGCAGCCGGGACGCACAAAGCTAGAGCAAGTTGAAGGTGATTTTCCTGTAGAGACAAAGAGTTGTAGTCGCTGGTGCAAAAAACGTGTAGATGCAAGCGGAGACAACATGAATAAAGGAAAATGATTGCGGAAAGCGCCACTCACAGCCTAGATCCCCTTGGTGTTCCCGACTTTCAGCTCTGTCTTGCCATACCGAGAAATATTTGCTGAGGGGCTTTGGGGATCGGAGCACCCCATCAACCCTTCCCGTGGGTAGAAGGGCATGCTATGTCACGGCAACTTTGATGGTTGAATAGATTTCATGATGTGGAATTATGGATGTAGTCTCTGACGAGTCCTAATTTACTGATAAATCACTGACGGGCTTCATCTGGTCGGAATACACATGGTGAAGGTTTGTTGGCCTTTGCCAGAGTGCCTGTGGTGTAGAGACCATGATCATTGCTCAAGTCACAATATATGTGTCTTCTGGAAGGCAAAGGTGGAGACAGGTAAAAGTTTACCACCCCACAACTCTGATTCGGCACTCTTGGGCGATTTACTGGGAAGCTTTAATGCACAAACAACTACAACACTCACTGTATGAATCATAATCACTTTCCTTGGGTCCCCGCAGTTTCTCCCTTGCTGGTGCGGTACTTTTGTGTGTGTGATTAATCTTTACAGTACAGATGCACTCGCCAGAGACTAATCCCCAACTCCACATTAAAATTTATTCATCAGTCTAAGTTGCTGTGACCGGGCGTGCCCGACGGCTCAAGGGGAGGATTGATGGAGGGGCTCTGCCTCCCAACAAACATTGTTTTCACTTTATATACACGGCAAGATAGAGCTAAAATTCAGGAACACCAAATTGATTTTGGCTGAGAGTGGTGCTTTCCCTGATCTCTTATCCTCAGTTTTGGTGATATCATTTGTGTCGGCAGATTATATGTTGTACTGACAACTACAACTTTTTTGCCTCTACAAGAACATCATATTCAATTTGACCAGACTTAGTGCGTCCTTACCATAAAGATTAACCGTACACATGCACTCAAGCTCACTCCCTGGACTGCCTTTATTTTTTAATCTTTTCTCTCTTAGGTGGTCCTTGAAAACATCAGAATGGGTTCCAAAGGCGTGTTTGCATTGCTGTTCATTACAGTCCTGAATAGCAATCACCTTGCAAAGGTATCTGCTGCCACCTCTTCTGGGGCTGCGCTGAGTGAGACAGTAAATGGCGGCACGAAGACAGGAGAATGCGCATATGCTGACTCTCATGGAAAGCAGATTAAGGTTGGTCCCTCCCCCTCCCTCTTTCCTCTCCTATCTGGGGATTATATATCTTTGTGACCCAAAGAATTATATTCCTCAAAATTAAAAATACAATCCAAAATATATCTTTGTATTGTAATATATTCCAGTCATATTTTGTATTGTATTTTGGTAATGTATTTGAAAATTCTAGGTATGTATTTAGGGACGTATTATTAGATACATATTTTATATTACCAGTATATTCATGGGTTTTGAGAATGGATTTTTTGGTCTTTGGAGTATATTTTGGAACGTAGTTACTTCGGGTGTATTGTGTTTAAAAGAAATGTTTCTAGCTACTGCATTATTTTTATAGGTTTTGGAAACATTTTTCTGATTAGGCAATAGCTCTTTTTGTTTATTTGGACCATGTTTCCCGCTTTGGCAATGTAATTTGAGGGTTTGATAACATAGTTTTAGGCTCTGCAAATATATGTAAAGGGCATTTTAAGATAGTAAGGGTTGATTAAAATTGAATTGGGTGTAAAAATAGTTTTTTTGTGATATCTTTTAGGGTAAGTGATAGACCCTTTCATTAAATGAATGATAATGGCTGCCAAAAAGTTTAGGGATTAATGTGTTTTGTCAACCCTTAGCTCAGAGTTTCTCAAGCCACTCACTTCTTATTCTGCTTAAAAAGTTCTTTTGAGAGTCACGGATGAATATTTGTTTAGCTAACACTCCAAAGAATGTGAATGTCTGTCTGTCTCTCCCATCCCTACTACTTTTTCTACAGATCAGTTACACAGAGTCTGCCTCAGGGGAAGTAACAATAACTTCTGGCAGTGGGTACACTGGAAATGGCAAAGAGGAACTCCGCAAGTGCCGAGAGGCGGCTGAACAGGCACAGAAGGAAGCAGAGAAGGCTGTTGAAGAACACATGAAATCCATCACTGACATGAACTCTGATATCAAGAAGCAGCACGAGAATTTGGAGAAAACTATGAGGGATCTTAATGCACAGGTGGGCGCTGGTGGGGGAGTAGGTCGGGTTGGTAGTGGGAATGTGCTGCTGATGCTGGCCCTCTTCCTCTCCTCATGGATGACACGATTTGTGTCCCTTTAAGAATGGGGTAGGGCCTCTATGAGAAGTGGCCTGCCTGCCTGTTCACTCGCCTGTCCACTGGCACTGCATGCAGAGTTGCACCATGGTATCGCAGGGCAATGAGGGGGCCTGCAATTTGCATTTTTTGATTGTGAAATTAACAAAAAAAAAATTAAGGTATCAGTCTCTTCTTTCTCCTATCTCCAAAAAGAAATGGAAATATGATTGGAAATCGAAAAATTATTAATAGTAGAATTTTTTTATTCTTTTTCTTTTTCATTTTAGAAGAAGAATAAAAAGCATAAAAATCAGGCCAGTAAGAAAGCTGATCAGAAACTCTCTGTTTATTTCATGCTTAGTCACTTATGCCTTCAGATTCCTTATAACTGAATGTATAATCAGTTGTTCATTATAAGAAGGTGTCACATAGAGATAAACAGAGAAAGATACAATGTGCCTCAATAATTGATTTGTCCATGAACATGATTTTAGATTAGGGTTGTTACATCATATAGTACCTCATTTGTGAAAGGGAGTGACAAGTGATCAAGAGCTTTAATCGTGGTTTTCTTACTCTTTTGCTGGTTAGGTTGTATGTCTCTTGTTATGTGGTATGACTGTGTATGAAACAGGGTTGTTCATATATATTCCTGTGTGATTGATAAGTTATATTTCCAGCTAACAAGCTTATATATCATTTATTAGCTTACTAGTTCTATTGTATTGGAATTTCACAATTGTAATCTCGAGAGTATTTGTATTTATATATTTATTTAGCCAAATTAGTTGTGATAACTTGAAATTAGCTGTTCTACAATGTAAACCAAAGAAAAATATTGTAGATACATGATTTTTTCTTCAGGCAGTGCCTGTTTTTTCCTTTTGAAAGGCAAGAAGACAGTAACAAAAGGCATCTTTTCCGGTGGCACTTAGGGTGTCGTGAAACGCGTCGCGACTCCAAAAACTGTCTCGTGATCGGAGGTGAGACAGGCCTCTAAGCTCCGCCTATTTCTGTGATGTAATGGGAATGATCGCGGTTGACGGCTTGCCATTTTACTGCACTGGTTATTTTTCCGACAGGTACATAGTATTTTGGAATATGATATCCAAGATGGCTTTTGATATCTTATGGTGGGTAGTGCGGTTTTATAGATATCCAATATAAGTACGAATATGCATAAAATATCCGAAGTAGGAGGATTGCATCTGGGAATCAATTAAAGTTAACTGTCTGCTCGATTCCTGTCGCGCAAGAGGTGTCGCGTTTCCCGTAACCACTAGAAAAGATGCCTAAAGTTTGGATAAGAAACCAAAGAAGGGTGCAAGGTATGTTGCAATACAGATTTTGTAAAGAGGAAAAAAACACATCAAAGGAAAAAACAATGTAAATAGATTTTCTAATACTGACATTTTTTTAACAAATTTCACAAAATGGAAGGTTCTCCTAATAGACTTCACATTTTGATATTTGGTAGACAAATCTTGCAGAAGAGGAGTTCACCTTTTTATATGGAAACATCAGACTCAAATCACCAGATACATTATATATAAGGCTTTTAATATTATCATCACTAAGGATGTAATTACACAAGAATTTACCTTTATTACCAATAGTTAAACTTCTTGCAAAGAAAAGAATTTTGCTTTATTTTCCATATGTTATTTCTCAGATGTCACAAAAACAAATGACCAACAAGATTTTGAGATTCATCATGCTACACAGCAAAATAATTGCTAAATATATTAATCCAAGTTAATTGCAGGAGTTCAATTTGAAGGTAGCAACAAACAAATTATTTAAAGCGAGGAAAGTAGGCAGAGTTTTTTTGAAAATCTTTTATCCTTTTGTGTGACAGATTCACCTTGTTTGTGCTATGAAGCCTGTGTTCACAATACCCTGAGCAGCTAACTTTTTAACAGCTATTAACTGTTACATATACAAATGATGCATGCACCTTCATATTAACCATTTTAAATTTTTTTATAGTGTTGTAATTGACAACCCTAGGTATTTAAGCTTCAAATTTTTTATACATTTAACATGTAAGATAATAATGGTATTCCTTGTAGTTTCCATGCCATTTTCTTATATTTAGAGTTTAATTATGAGAAATATGAAGTCTTACAATCTCGGAGAAACAAACATTTCCCTTTTTTTTTTTTTTTTTTTTTTTTTAGATATTAAAAGTATCTCTTCAGCATATACCTGAGCAGCATATGAATGTGCTGTTGGATAGTTTTGCTTTTATCACTTACATTACACACTGCTTTTGTTATCTATTAAAGCTAGCTAACTTGTAAGTGCTTTCCATTTACCCATAATCATCAGGTATAATGCTATATCCACTGTGATTTTAGTTTAATGAATGCTTCCATTT